ATCGATCAACCTGAGTGTCAAGGTCACGATCTGATTGGCGCATCATCACGTCTGTTCGCGTACGCCCAATTGATCACACATATTTGCTTGTTGTTTCATGATCAAGAATACACTCTGACTGTCGTTTCTCAGCAGTGTTCTTTTCTCCAGTTATTGGGGCCAACACAAAGAGGCGCACGTAACGATTATATCGTCTTGACAGAAGACAACATAATCCTCGTATGAGAATCGAAAGCTCAATGTTATTCTGTAGTGAAAAATAACAGTCTCTATCAGAGAGCGGTGACTATACACTCAGGTGATTGTGCCCCAGGTTGATCGACTTTAGCTGCTCTACCAATCGGAAGCTGTCTATTAAAATGTGAACGCACAGTTTACCGATAATGTGGTTAGAGTATGCTAACGGCTTTGCTAAGTAATGCTAGGACTTAGTGGTATCCGAAGGAGCCCGTACAATTGCAGTATCCGCGATCCTCTTGCCCCACCCCGCATCTAGTTGACCACGGAAAAAATTGTATCACCAATCGACCCACTGATACTCCCATTTCCACCCAACAGACCCGCCTCTCCCTTCCCCTCCCCGTTGATCTGTCGGATGTGGCAATGTTAAAATAACCACCCCATAAATGGGGGGTCACGCATAGGTGAATTAGCAAGACAATTAGCTTCATCCGAGTGTGAAACCACTCTCCGAAACAACACTGCCTCCCACAACTACCCGTCAAGGTATAAAAGTGAGGCAAGTTTGGCACTGGTGACGCAATTTGAACACTAGTGCTTCAATCAAACTGTCTTCAATTGTGACGCGTGCCGCATCCAAGGTGCATGCTCTCCAGATCCAATCCCATCAACACGCGATTAGACTGGTTACCAAATACCATTCGCCGGATAGCACCGTGTCACGTCTAAACACTCGTTCACTGGTAAACTGAGCACTAGTCACGGAATACAGAGCGGTTCCGTGAAATACATACACAAAAAACATCACAGCCCAGCCGTTTAGTTCACGTACCCACGGACTGGAGTTCCTCTAAACTGTAAATCGAATTCCATAGCCAACAGCACCGGTTGTTCCGATTACAAAAACAGCGGTTGGCGTTAGGAGCCTCGAAGCCCGAATGAGATAACATAAGAACCGACTGATTGGATAACAGTGATCGACTGCTATAAACATGTGCGACGAGTCAAATCCAATTGAGCCTTTTCAGACTAACTAGAAAAGCCTGTACGGATTTGACTGCCGGGCGTTCACGAATCTCGTGGTAACCCATGTGGATAGAATTTGAGAATGATCGAGTGAAAAGTGCAGTTCAGTTTGCACAACCATTAACCACACATATTCGTGCGTCGGTTTTGGTTGCTATCTTTCGGCTACCCATTTGGGTGAACATTAGGAGAAAGACAGGAAAGGTTGAAAGTAGGATCGAAGAGAAGATTGAAAAGTTCAGTGGATTAATGATGCAGAGAAATTGAGATGCACGAACGCCACTGTTTGCGACACCCAACCATATCACTCAGTGTCTCTAATCATCGTTTACGATCATCCCGAGGTCCCCAGCCAGGGAGCCTAACGGGACCTAGGCTCTTGGTTAGGGTTGTCATACCCTCATTCTAGGTCTTAGCTTGACCACCCTTGGATTTTTTCCACTCGGTATCTGCTTCGGCGAACATCGCTCGCCGTGGTAACCTATTTGTAGACATGCGTAACAATTGCCCCAACCAACGTAATCTATGGAGGTCGACCACTTGCGCCAGTGGGCGACCGCGGATACCCAAAACTCTGCGCCTAACCTCAGCATTGCTCATCCGGCTACCCCACCAGATTCGTGCAATGCTGCGTAGACAGCGGTGTTCGAACACCGACAGTCTGTCTTTATCTTGTTTTCTTAATGACCAAGTTTCTGCACCGTATAGCAGGACTGCTGCAGCATACACTTGACACTTCACAGACAACCGNTCAAGTTAGCAAATGCCAACCGAGCCTTCTGTATGCGAGCTGACACTTCATCCGTGATGCGTCCACCGGGTGAGATGTAGCTGCCCAAATAACAAAACTTATCCACCTGCTCTATTACTTCCCCAGTTAATGCGTCTGGGTACTGGGCCAACCCGGTCTTGTAGTAGCATTTTACACTTTGAAGGTGCAAAACGCATACCAAACATGGACACGCTAGCACGCAAACTTTCCAGACAAGTTTATAAATTACCTGGATCTTCACTTAGTAGCACAATATCGTCTGCTTACTTTAGATCAGACAGCCTGCCACCTGGGAGTAAATTGATGCCACTATCCTCGCACGAGGATAGGGCTGACAACACAATACAACTGTAGAATTTGGTAACTGCAGTTTGTAATTAATTACTCCGTGGTTCAAAACGGTAACAATAATTTGTTTAGTTCTCGTTTATTTTGGATACAATCGATTTTTAATCAACGTTTCACAGTTAATAACTCTAGACTCCCTGGAAATCATCATAAACGGGAACGTTGTGTGGTCTGGTGGGATTCGTAAACACC